TAAGGGGTGTTTCCCAGTTATATGCACCTGGCATATTCAACAATGTTCTGTGCTCTCTACTCAGCGTACCCAGCCACTGGATTGAGTAAGCCAGACCCCTGCGGTCTCATTTTCCAGTGTTGGTGCTAAAAATAGGCCTAACTGGCAACAGTAACTTTCCTCCCCTGAGGGGAGAGCTCAGAGGAGGGGGCCTGAGACCTCAGGGAGTGGCTGGAAACCCCGAGGCATGTCATGAAACCTGAGCCCAGGGAAACTGAGCACCTCCTGTGTCACTGATATACAGAGTGACTCCTGCTGTGCTGCCAGACAGTAGCTTCTCAGGATGCGGGGCTCCCAGGTGGGGGCTTGGTTCCTCACCTTCCACAGGAAGGAGGGAGCAGGGGAGGCGTTTTAACAGGCAGGGCTTCCAGGTGTTACTCTGGACAGACCTGCAGGGACCGGTCATCGCCCTTCTCTACTGCTTCTAAAGCTCCACAAAGACCTCTTCAGGCAGCGTCTGAGAACAGAGCAGCCTTGATGACCAAATCTGCGAACCAGTGCTGTGTCAGAGCCCAGAACTTTCTACTCTGTCATCAGATTCTGAACGGGCTCTGTAACCTCAGCCAAGCAGCTCTCCTCCCTGCAGTGCCAATGGCTGCGGCCACTCTGCGGGGTGGAGACAGGGCCTCCAGTGCCTCTCCTTGCCCGTGGGTTTGCATGCCACGCAGAGAGCATGTCTGTTCTTGGCTCCTTACAAATAATCTGTGAAGGCTGAGAATAACTCAAGCATTCCGGGTGCAGTCTAATAGTTGACATGGATTTTAGCGAATGTTTATTGCTGTCACCGGGTTTTACCAGCAGAAAAGTGGCCCTTGACAGGGATGTTACCAAAGCATGTTGAGAGCCTTCACCACCCCTACCTGTGCACCTGAGGATTAGGAAAAGCCTGTTTCTAAGAAACTGCAGTGGGAATGTGAGCCTTGTTTTGCTCGCCCCTCCTACATCTTTTTAAAAATGTAACTACCCTGTCTGGCTGTTAACATTTGTATTAAATTGCTTATATATAAAACCAAGGGCATTTTATGCCTTGGGAAAATGTTTTCTTTAATGGTCTTGATTCTTAATTAGGTACTGACTTTTTAAACCCAGAATATGGCTCCTCCCAGAATTAGAGGTGCAGTGACCTTCAGGGCCCCCTCCCACGCTGGCCAGGTAGCTCAGGCTCCTGGAATTCGGAAAGGTATGTGGAGGTGCATGCAAAGTCTGGTGACGTTGCTGTTATACTTAAAGTAGGGTCTTTTGTTTTTTGTTTCTTTAATGAATACAATAAGGTAGTTACACTTAGTAATATCCATTCACCCAAAGGAAAGGGGGGCATGTTAAATCATTGTGTTTTTTTGATGAATGGCTTGTACACTGAAAAATAAATTGGACAAACTGGCATAGAGCTCAGTGAACATGAAATCAGCTATTAGAAGAAAGCTTGTGAACAAATTCGGAGGCAGATATGCATCTTTTGATTAATGCCCTATCAATCATCCACACAGCTACCTTAGCTAAGTCTTGCTGTAATCATTCATGGTCGCTTTCGGAAACACTGGCAGAAACTATAGTGCCGCAGAAACGGAATATGGTTACTGATTTCTCCCTAACTTACTGTGAACAATGACTGTTTTTACCATGTTCTGCCTTCCTTTATTAAAGAAACACAATACAGAATGAAAGGAGAGTTCCTCAAAGCCTGGTGAAATTCTCCGAGGGTATTCTTAATGATATTCAGTCTTAAATGGGCAAGCTATTGTAGTGTAAGGTTCTCTGTAGGAATAATAGTAATGTAATCCCATTGAAGCCGCCTTTTATGGAGTGTAGTCAAATAGGCAAAATGTACAGTCACATTAATGAACAGAGTATATCTTTGGAATTATTACTTAAAGTTGTTGAAATGGTTTGAATTTTGTTATTGTAATTATTTTATTCTCAGTTAATGTGCTTAACATCAGTAGTAATTAACCCACCAGACTGGAAATTTGCATGAGTTCTAATTTTGACATTACAAGAAACCCTGATTCTTTCTGGGTATTACACAGCAGGATGGTGGAAACATATATATAAATATTTTTTTCACTGATTATTTTTTAAAAGAAATTTCCAGGAATGCAGTTATTATTTTTTCATGGATTTTTAAACCATTGGCAAATTCCTGAAGAGCACTTCATTCTTTTAAGAGGATTTATTTCTGAACTATGCTGGCACAGAGAACTATTTGGCACTGCCTGCTAGCCTTTGACATTACAAGAAACCCTGATTCTTTCTGGGTATTACACACCAGGATGGTGGAAACATATATATAAATATTTTTTTCACTGATTATTTTTTAAAAGAAATTTCCACGAATGCAGTTATTATTTTTTCATGGATTTTTAAACCATTGGCAAATTCCTGAAGAGCACTTCATTCTTTAAGAGGATTTATTTCTGAACTATGCTGGCACAGAGAACTATTTGGCACTGCCTGCTAGCAGAGAAATCTTTAGGTAATATCACTGCTTCCTCAGAATTTACCGTAGCCTGGGAAATACTGTGGCATAATACAGTAGTGACAAGCATTAGCATGCATAATGGGCTCTAATAGACATTTAACGCTGTTTAGTTAGAAGCGGGAGCCGCGCTTTCCCATTGGAATATTCCTCCATCGGAATCCATTGATCACCGATTTCAGTGGGGAGAGGTTAATCCATCAGCCTCTGTAAGCAGACGGCACTGATGGAAATTCTTTAGGTGGCATTGTGGATGAACCAAGCTTTCCATCTTTACAAACAAATGAGTGATATGACAAGCATGGTGTTCAAAACACATTTAACCAATTGATTTTCTTTCCTCTTGTAATAAGATCTGGAGACATATGAAAGTGCACGGTGTGAGCTAAGATTAAAGGAATTGCCCCATGCACAGGAACATACAGAACTAGGAGCCACTAACAGTACCGTAAAGCATGTAGTCACTCATTCTCTTTTTTATATAAAGTTTGTTATTGCAATAAATAGTTATTATTGAGCGGGTGCCTTTCATTTCTGTTTTGCAGAGTCTTATTTCAGGTCCGTGTGTATGTGCACACACACGCGTGTCTTGTCTCAGTAGTCATCTTTCTCTTGGAAGATTTCAGGATGTTTGGCAGTAATCGTTTCTACCTTCTTATTTAATCAGACAGACCCGATGTGGTCTGGGATGGTAAAATTAAAGCCAAAACTAAAGCTACATGCGATACTCTGTACTTGTCAGCATTGATGGTCTTCTCGTTTTTATCTCCCCACATGCAGCCCTGCCTTGAGCTTCACCTACCCTTCTGCGCCCGTCTCCCTCCACATGCATCAACAGATCTTAAGCCGCCAGCAAAGCTTAGGCTCTGCCTTTGGACATAGCCCTCCACTCATCCACCCTGCCCCAACTTTTCCAACACAGAGGCCTATTCCAGGGATCCCTGCAGTTCTGAACCCCGTCCAGGTCAGCTCCGGCCCTTCCGAGTCCTCACAGGTGAGAGAGAAAGCTCGATGGGCTGGTCCGTGTTGGTCCCTAGTACCTCAGTGTTCTCATGGCTTCCATACTGGCCTCCGGACTTTGTGACCCACGGGTATAGTCTTCAGTCTTGATGCATGGACTGTGCACATGCGTCCTTTTCATCAAACAGTCCCTTCTTCCACCAGAGTCATTTTCTCATTGGTGGGAAAGCAGCCTGCTTGATAAGGCTCTGCTCTGAAGCGTAAACCACATCCAGTGTAGACACAGTGTGTGGATGTATTGCTCTGATTTGGTCACTATCTACACCCTTGCCAAACAGCAGTTGCTACTTAGCATCCGGCAATGCTTCAGAGCAAGGGCAGAATTGTACTAGACTCTCTGTTCTTACTTTCACACTGATATGGTTTAGAGAAGAGTCAGGATGCTCCTAATTAAAGAACTTCACAAATGGTTCGTGTTGGTCTCCTATCCACCTCACAACTTTTGTTCTGTTGAAATACATTGTTGGAGCTTTTTAAAGCCTAGGGCTCCAGTGCTATTTTTCTAGCTTTTAAAAGCCACAGGGAGTTTATCTACCCATGAGTTAAATATGAAGAGCTGCCTCATGAATGTGTTTTCCAGCTTTGAACATACTTTCTGGACTCTGTTACCTTGGGATTGGAGCATCCCAGAGTCATGGCCCTATGGCCAGTAAGCCTGCTTGTCTCGAGTCACAGGTTTTAATCATGGCACTGCTCATTGATCAAAACCTAATTTTTGTCTCTGGCCCTGCAAATGTGAACAGCAGAACAAGCCCACAAGTGAATCTGCGGTGAGCAGCACGGGTGACCCAATGCACAACAAGAGGTCCAAGATCAAACCTGACGAAGACCTGCCCAGCCCGGGGGCCCGGGGGCAACAGGTAGGATGCCCAGGCTGTGCAGGCCAGCCCCCACTCCTCCCTAGACCTGGTGTCTTTCCACAGCATTTCCCTGTCCGCTGCCTTTTTGGCCTTGGCATGCTTGACGGAAGGCCAGTTACAGAGTGACTAAATCTGTTTCTCTAGCTCAGAAGCAAACGTGAGCAATTCAGGAAGCTGTATAGGCTACACAATCCTGATAGTCTAGACAGCCTGAGAGTGTAGGCAACTGTAGTTCATAGAGTAAAAGGCTTGGTTAATCTGTTGCTGACCACAGATGGGACCAGGCTTCAGGCCTCATCCCTGATCCTGGGCCTGAATTACTGAGCTCCTGGCCCCAAGACTGAGCTGGGCAAGAGCTGCTGATGTTCCCTACACTGATCATGCTGTTATGGTTTCTTATTTTGCTACTTTCCACTTGCAAAGAGATCCTGGAGAACCAGGAGGAAATCTAAGTCTAGTCAGTCTCTGTTCATCTACCCAAAATCCTGAAAGGAGGAGTTTAGACATTTCAGTCTGGACTCTGCTTCTAGTCACTTAGATCCTCTGGGCCTCAGTTTGATAATGTGTAGGTTATACCCATAATACCATATTATGGGGTTCTTGTGCCTGACACAAGAAGGAGCTCAATGAATGTTAACTCCCCCAAATAGGAGTCTAGACATCCACAGAACCTTGACCTTGCTATCATCAAGATGTTTCAACCTAAATCTGACTGCTTCAACCCATATTTCCTCTTCAGTAAGAACTTTGAGGATGGATTCTGAAACTGATCCTTCTTCTTGCATTTTGCTGGACAACAGCCTTGCTGGTTACATCTCATTGCTTGTATATAGTTTTTATCATCTTGCCCCAAATTAGAATCTGAATCTACACACCTAAATGCCCTTCAGAATTCTGGAAATTCTTTGTATTTGCACTGCTCTGAAGCTGCAGTAGAAGACTGGAAAGGACTGTGCCCCAGCTTTAGATGCTGTGGTTCTCCAGCTTTGGGCTGTGAGGGTATCTTTGAAGATCATAGGTTGAATCAGGAAGGCACTATCTCTATAAAGTCCACAGAGGGCCTCACACAGCCTCCAACACCAGGGAAAACAGAATTAGAAGTACTCATAAACCATTTCTCTGGATTACAAAAATATAAGAATAAACAATTTAATACACTGACAAGAATTAAAACAACTAAACAAAATAGACCAGTCTTTTGGGTAAAGACTACATGACCTAATTGCTTTTCTTATGCGTTTTGTTTTGCGTTGTTTTTGTTTTATATTTTAGATGACATTTTAGTTTATTTTCAGCTTTGTATTCAAGGCAGCAAAGTTTGGCCTCAATTTTTATGATCTGAGCTGCTGAATCACAAATTAAAAATCTGGGAAGGTGTATTCGGAAAATCTGAAAAAATGCGTACACATGATTCCATGTGATTGACTTCTACTCATAAAACGTTCCTGACAGACCAGGGTTCTGTTTTACTTTCACTGAAAAACCGCATTAGGAGAAAGACAAATCTAAATCAGGTTTTTACTCTCCTCTTTGTCTTCCCTCCCACTGTTTCTGATTTTATTCCCCCATCTGCTTTCTTCCCCCACCCCTGCCTTTCAGGAGCAGCCGGAAGGAACAACCCTAGTCAAGGAGGAAGGGGACAAAGACGAAAGCAAACAGGAGCCCGAAGTCGTCTATGAGACCAACTGCCACTGGGAAGGCTGCACCAGGGAGTTCGACACCCAGGAGCAGCTTGTGCACGTAAGTGAGGGCGCTGTAGGCTGGGCTCTGCAGCGCTGCGACCCTTGCCACGGAGGTCAGCTTCTGCGACCCTGTGCTGAGTCAAGTTTCTTAGTGAGCAGCGTTGCAAACTGGAGAGGGCTTTATGACTTTCTGAGAATAAAGAAAACTGAGCCGCAGTGCTTGACCTGTTCAGGAGGTCAGCTTCTGCGACCCTGTGCTGAGTCAAGTTTCTTAGTGAGCAGCGTTGCAAACTAGAGAGGGCTTTATGACTTTCTGAGAATAAAGAAAACTGAGCCGCAGTGCTTGACCTGTTCAGTCAGCTAAAGCTTAGTGTAAAATTCAATAAAGTCTTCAATAGCGAGTGTAATGACTCTGATCCTGTAAACCAGAAAACAGAATTTTGAGTTAGCGACTTTGATGGTTATTGAGTAATAGTAAGCTGGACATGAATTATTATTAACCTTTTAACCAAGTTTGATTCCCCTTCCAAGGCCCAGTAATGACAGAAAAAATCGTAGGGGTGGGGACTCCTTTTTTCCTCTCTCAAGCCCTCAAGGCCCGATTGCTCTCCCATTGCTTCCTGCAGCAGTGAGTGGCCTCCGTGAAGCAGGCAGATGTTCCGGGTAAGCCATGAGCAGAGTTTCCTGACTTAAGACCAAGCTTTGTGGGGTTAGCAGTTTCATGGAAAAAGTTGTATGTGCTTTTAAATGTGTTTAATGCTGTATGTTTTTGAAAACTACAGCATGGTCAGACTGTGGACCACACCTCCTCCTGCCACACCAGGTTCAGATATCTTCTGCTCCTGCTCCTGTGCACCATTTCGAACAGTGCAGTGACACAGCTGCCCCTGCCCCACATGTGCATGGAGGGACTGACTTTGCCAGTGCTTCCTTAGACGAGGCACTTTCTCAAAGGCCAGTGGAGTGTCCCTGGCAAGTGGAACCAGGAGCAACTGACATGGAAGGGCATTTAGATAATCAAGAATAAAAAATACAGGCTGGTACAGCCTCTGTGCAGAAGCATAGCGTCCTGTTAAGGCATTAAGGATGGTCACAGTGTGGCAGTTTCTTAAGCTTTTAATGTGATGGAAATGTTGACACAGAGCAGTTGTGATTGCCTCTCTCTCTAATACACACACACGCACACACTCATCATCCCTTCTCTTTGTTTTACAGAAACTTTGTATGTTTAGATGATCCATATTTCTTGATGACCCACTTCCATTTGGATTAAACACTGAAATTACAGAGTCCCTGTCACATCCCACCTGCTTCACAGGCTGCGTGAGCTTTTGAGGTGTCTCTCCTGTAACTCGGCCCATCCTGTTATACATCCCACACATTGCAGTTACATTATAGTTAAATACACAGTTTGCCAGGTTTTAGATCTGTTATGTGCCGAATGTTCAGAAGATTTAATGTGACATCAGCAGAGTTTCCCACCCTTTTTCTTTGTTAATCACGTCTCCTTGTAATTGTATAGAAAGAATTATAGATTTCTGAGCACAGCAAAAAACGAAAAAGTCAAATGTTTTTAATTAAGGTATATTTCCAGATTTTTCCATGAACTTAATTTGATTCTTTCTTTTTAATTTGATGCAAGTGTTATTTTTAAGCCAAGCATGACTTAATGGCCCTATATTCTTGCTGACTGTTTTAATAGAAACCACAAAGACATGTAATACTAAGGGGGGAAAAGTTTAGAATTTTTCTTTTAATATGGGGAAATATTCACAGAGCAGCATGTGCCATGAATATCCTTAGTGACACAACCAGTGCGCGACGTAACTGAAGAGCACGTTTGTGTGAAAGCCGCGGTCATAGGAAAGACGCTGACAGTGCTGCTTGCTTTTTAAAACATTCTGAGGATGGCCCAGTCTCATGATGATGTTTTGGAGGATAAAAAAGACGCTGACAGTGCTACTGCTTGCTTTTTAAAACATTCTGAGGATGGCCCAGTCTCATGATGATGTTTTGGAGGATAAGTTATTGGCGCTTCTAAGGAGTCTTGTGATGGTAGTTCAGTTATTATCAAATGAAGAATGAAACGGGTTTATTCCAAGTCTGCATTTAAAGTGAATCGTGTTCCTCATGAGAGGGCGGGTGGGAGGTAACATTTTGGGGGGTGCGGTAGTAACTTAAACCTTTCACTAACTAAGTCATGTAAACGTGTTTAAAAGATAGTGAATATTGAAGGTATTTGTATTTCATGTCAGTGGCAAAAGGTCTCTGATGTTTTACTAGAAAGTTATGAACAGTTTTAAGGGAAGGCTGCTTAAACTACCAACTAAATGACCACCTTGTTGTCTACTTATGAGAACTATCTGTAAAAGCCATGAAAGCACACATGTACAGTGAAATTTTTTTTCTAAATCCGAAGAAATTCCTGTCAGAATTAAAAGAAAATCCAATGTGTTACCTTTAGATATTAATTTTAGTCAAATTATATGAGTGAGTAAACTTAATTAAGTGAATTAAAAATTATAACACAACAACATAACTAAAGATACTAGTTCATATCACTTATTTTCCACCTTTTTCCTCATTGCCTGAGGTGTGGAAATTGCAAATTTGTGTATTTAAATTGATTTTACATTGCATGACATACACATACATTTGTACTCAGTGTGTCTGGTCGCATTAGCAGTGGCCTGGTATAGAACAGGTGCTTTATATTTTGTGGATTGAAGGAAAAGCTAGCTACGTCAAGTCCACCTCATTACTTTGGTGGCAGCTGGGATAAATGCCACTTGCAAAAACCACTTTTTTAGGGACAGAGGGAAGCAGTAATTGTTTCCGTTGCCGTGACTTTCCTGGGGGAGAGG